TTTTTTTTTTTTTTTGCAGGTAAAAAAAAAAAGTGCAGTTAATATTTTTGACTTCAGGAGCTGGTAAACCATTGCACCAGAGACCAGCAGATAACTGGTGCCATGCAGGTTTCCTGCAGATCTGTCGGTGTATCTGCTTTCTTGTACGGGATGTGCTTCACAGCGCCGTGGTAGTTCATTGAGGACTACAAGTTCATTGAGCACCATAAGCTGACAGCCGCTAAGGCTGTCAGGACTTGTAGTCCCTCATTCACAGATGACTGTAAATGAGTGACGCGACTGTGTGGGCATAGCCCCGCATGACCACGTTTTTTAAATTTGACACCGGGGGGGGGCTGAAGATCCCTCCTAGCTGTCAAAGCAGGGATCGGGGAGAGTGGGGGCTGGTCTGATCGTACATGGCACACACTGAATATGGTTGTAACGTGTTACGAAAGGTGAACTTATCCTTCAACAGCCGTCATCAGTTGCCTGTCTGCAGACTGGTATCATAGGGTGCACATGTACCACAGGTCTACAGATAAGTGGACCTAAAATGTAAAGAACTCTGCAGACCTAATCTGCAGAACTGTACTGACAAGTGACCTGCGATAACCTTGTGTAGAGGTTATTGGACATTGGCGGGCAGCCATGAACAGCTGAACACGTAACAGGGAGGGGGGGGTTTAATGCCAGAACTTCATTAACTTTCTATTGCTAAGCTCGAAGCATGTAAGATCTGTGTCCTGTGCCATTTAGTAAGCTAAGAAAACATTGGGGTTGATTTATTAAAACTGGAGAGTGCAAAATCTGGTGCAGCTGTACATTGAAACCAATCCGCTTCCAGGTTTTATTGTTATACATGGGTCGAAAATTGACCGATTTTTCGTCCGAAAATCGGACCTAAGAATAATTGGCCAATTTTCGCTCTGTTAGTGGGTCAATGGCACCGGCCGATTTTCGTGGTTCCTCCCCTTTTCGGTGATCGGCATGTTGAAAAATTCCTGAAAAACGACCGATTTTCGACCCAATAATGGTCAAATCGTACGATCGTTTTTCCCAAAAGAATATGCGCATGAGTTGTGACCTGGAAGGAACAGAAGTTTTGCATGTTATATAGGGTGAACTTTATGACTTGGTTTGCCGATTTTCGAAATCAATTAATTGATTACAGAGCGAACAACGTTTCCGATTTTCGGACGAAAAAACGTCAGTGTTCGAACCATGTATGGCCTGCATAAGGGCTTGTTCACACTAGAATGCAGTGCGGGAGAGCCGAGTTCCCGTGTGGAGTTAACAACACCCCCCGAACGCAGATGACAAATTATTATTATACAGGATTTATATAGTGCCAACAGTTTGCTCAGTGCTTTACAATATAACGCATTGCGTTTGTCCGCACCGGCCCGCAGCAAACTACATGGTACAAAGTACCTTGCAATGCGGTTGCCATGTGTTTAAAAAAAGTAGTGCATGCACTACTTTTGGTGCAGTGCAATTTCGGCCCATTCAAATGAATGGGCTTGAAATTGCACTGCATAGACCCGCATATGTATCGCACAGGAATGCACAGCGCGATTCTATGCGATTCATATCAGGGCATAGTGTGAACCTGCCCTAAGGGAGGGTTATAACCCCTATTAGTTTATTTTTTACTATCTGTTGGAGAGATTTACCTTCACTTCCCGTCCCGTCCCATAACCAAAACAGGAAGTGGGAGGAAATCCCTGTAAAATAAGGAAATTCCTTGGGAACCCCCAGGACACTAGAACTAGTGTCCCCAAAATTTCCTCTATTACTTTTTTGGGACAACCCAAAATTTGGGGTTTTCTCTTACTTTCAATGTCAATGATAATGGTAAATGGAACAAATAAAGAGGGTGAATCTCCCTAATGAGGCCACAGACAGCAATAAAAAACCTAATATGTGTTCTAATCCATCTCCACTGTGTTCAAAAGAAGAAAAAAGTTTTGCCTCTAGTTATAATTTAATTCAACAAGCTGAAGTTAGTATCTGATTGGCTCCCATGCACAGCTGTACCAGATTTGGAGTGCTCCAGTTTTAGTAAATCTCCCCCATTGTGCAGTGAATCTTTTCTTAGCAGCTTTAAGCCTGGGTTCACATAAATGCGGTGTGGTACATCACATGTGATTTGCACAGGAAACGCACACATTTTGTATTGCACTGAAAAGGTGCAGGACCCTTTTTTTTTTGGTCCACACTTGAATCCGATCGCATGGGTATTCACACCTATGCGGTTCGATTCTGCACATTGCACAGTGTTTTGCGGACCGATTTCGGGGTGTTGTTAACTTAACATACACATCCGCAGCGGTTCGCATGAACAGGGTTCGATTCTGATGCGGTGCGGAATTCGCACAGAAAACGCTGCAAATTCCGCACCGCATCAGTTTGAACCCAGGCTCATTGCTGTCTGCTGTCTCCTTTGGGGAATTCCGCTTCCTGCTGCAGTGACAGCATTTTCAGGGTTTTATTTTTGCTGTTCCCTACTCTGTTACCTTCACTTTGCATTAAATAATTACAAATTATAGCTATCCTGTAGACCAGGGGTGTCCAAACTTTTTTCAAAGAGGGCCAGATTTGATGAAGTGAACATTTGTGAGGGCCGACCATTTTGCGGCAAAAAAAAAATGAATGGATAAAGGAGCGACTGACACTGGTCATGACTTATATGGAATCTGTACTTGTTTCTCCCTCTAAAAAAAAAAAAGCAAAATTACTCTCACTGATTTCCTTCAATGCTTGAGAAGGGAGCGCACCTTTCTCCGAAACGTGTCACATTGCATGCTGGACATCCCTACGTCACCACGCCGACGTTGCACTCCAGGGTGGACTCAGGACGCCATCTTTGGATCTCACACATGCCGGCCAGCTCCCTGTGAACATCCTGAGTCTCCTCCAGCGCTTACTACGGCGTATACATCGAGGACGCCGCCATGTTCTTTGCTTTCACCACATATGCCTAAGCCTTTCCTTTTCTTTCATCGTGTGTTTCTCATTATGTCCCTCAATAAATGTACCACATATTGCACTTAGAGGCGCTTTTCTCCATTTTAGATATTGTCAAATTACCTGTGGGATCGTATTAAACCAGAAAACTGGCTGCAATTGGCCCGCGGGCCGGACTTTGGACATGCCTGCTGTAGATTGTTTCCCATACTCTTCAGTATCTATTCTAGCTTTACTCATTTGTACTTACCTCAGTTTAGTGATTGATTTAGCCTAGGGGCTGTGGCCTTTACCGGGCAGCGTCCCAGTACTGTTCTGAACCTGTGGGAGCCCACATTGGGTAGATGGCCTATTCCAGCAAATACCTGCAGGTCATCCCACCTTTGGCTGACACTATAGGAAAGAACACTGCACATTGTTAGACACTACCTGCACTTTTTGATTTGCACTGATGCATTTTTTAGGTTCATTATGATTGTTATTGGGATAAAAGTTTTGTGAATTGTATATTTGCACTTTCGTATATCTTTATTTTGCTTATTTATGTATTGAACTATCATTTGAGCACAGTTCGCTGTTTACTTTTTTCTTTTTAACCACTTGCCCTTAAGAGGATTTACCCCCCCCCCCCATCTTGACCATGCAATTTTTTGCGATATCGTACTGCATTACTTTAACTGGCAACTGCGCGGTTATGCAACGCTGCACCCAAATGAAATTTACATCCTTTTTTCCCACAAATAGAGTTTTCTTTCTATGATATTTGATCGCCTGTGCAGTTTTTATTTTTTGCGCTATAAACAAAAAAGACCAACAGTTTTGAGAAAAAAAAACAATATTTTTGACTTTTTGCTATTAAACATGTCCAGTAAAAATTTTTTTAAAAAAAATCAAATTTTGTCATAAATTTAGGCCAAAATGTATTCTGCTACATGTCTTTGCTAAAACAAAATCCCAATACGTGTAAATTAATTGGTTGAATTTAAAGTTTTAGCGTTTACAAATGGCGGTCTATATACTGGAATTTTTTTTTTTTTTTTTTTAACTGGTAATGGCGACGATCAGTGACTTATAGTGGGACTATGGCATTCTGACACTGGGGGAAACTGACTTGGTTTCATTGACATCCCCAGTGACACCAATACAGTGATCAGTGCTAATAAAAAGCTCTAACACTACTAATGGCACTGGGCAGGAAGGGGTTAACCTGTGGGGCGATCAGAGGGTTAACTGTGTGCTGTTTCACTCTGTGGGCTGTGTGTGTGCTTCACTGTAAGCACACTACTTTGTATGGCTCTGCTATGCAGTGTGCAGGAGCTGACGGGAGAGATCTGTGTTGTTTACACACAGGTCTCTCCCCTGTTGGACATACTCGTCGGATTACCGGGTGCCGGCGAGTAATCATCGGCCGGGACCCGGTGATTGACAGCCAAGGCTGCGAATGGCCCCCTACCCAGAACTACAAAATCACATATCCCCACACTAGAATTTTAAAGGCACATTATGCTGCAAAGACTGCACAAAAGGGGACATGAAATAATCATATGCTGCTACATGTAATCGTTCCATTTTTCCATGCAGGGGACTCACAAATTTTAGAGTTAGGACCACAGATGATCAGGGTGCCGTGTCGTGGCTCTGTGGCTTACGTATGTATTTGCAAATGTGTGCTAACTAAACCCCTGTTATAAACGCATACTGTTAGACAGGTTAATTCGGTTGTTAGCAAGCTGGCTGGCAAGTTGTCCAAGAACATTGTTCTCTCCCCCTTTTTTCACTATGTGATGCCTGTTTATGTGTCCTTGCTTCATAAGCCAGTTATAGACTTGGGCGGGTGGCCACTTTTATGCAGGGTTTTATAACCTGCATAACGATGACGTACATAACAGGTGATAGCATACGCTCTTTTAAAAAAAAAAAACATGTTCTGTGGTCAGCCCCTTTGGGATTGATTTACGAAAAATGGAGAGTGCAAAATCTGCTGCAGCTGTGCATGGTAGCCGAACAGCTTCTAACTTCAGCTTGTTCTATTAAAGTGTTACTACACCCAGGACCCTGCATTCACTACATCTGCTCTCCCACAGTACACAGAACATGGAAATGCAATTATGTTAGTAAATATAAACTGCTAAATACCTTTTCTGGTCAGCAGTATAAAGCAGTATTGTGACTTCTATCAGTGTCCAGCTGAGCACTGGTTAAAGCTTGTAGAAGGAGTTTTCATTCTCCTCTGACTGTCCTATGAGGCTGCATTGCCCCTGACCTGTCTGAACAGTGCTGGTTGACCCTGTGCTGATAACATGCACCCTCCCAAAGATAAAAGAAAACACTCTAGCAATACACACTAAACTGAGCATGTGCAGAGTAACTCCTAGAGCTCTGTACTATCAGCAGATGGATTGAGCACAGTAAAAAGGGGAGGATCAGAGAAGACAGGATCAAACAGCCTTTTTACACAGTGCAGAGGATTTGCCCCTTAGGTTCCACAGTGATTATAACAAGCATGCTTTGCTGCATATGCAGACTGATTTTTACTGTTGTGGGTTTAGTAACACTTTAAGCTTTGACAAAGCTGATTGGTTTCTATGCAGAGCTGCACCAGATTTTGCACTGTCCAGTTTTAGTAAATCAACCACTTTTATGTCCAAACAGCATTTTGGGACTATTGCTCTTCTAACTTGTTGTCTGCAACTTTTTCTGTAATCAGCAAGACAGCCTATTCCTCCACAGAAAACAAACACTGCACTTGAAACAGAACTTTGATCTGCTGTTATCTCAAAGAAGCATTGAATTTAGATTATAATATTAAGGCCTTAAAGCTGTAAAAAAAAAAGACGGAGAATCTCTGCTCACACTGCCATATTTTATCAGCTTTAAAACAGGCATCTACAGATGTATGTGCTTGTTGAAAACAAAAAGTGCCATTAACACTACCTGCAAAATATGTCTCCAGTTGTGGCCTATGTGTCAGTCTGTGGATGCACTTCTGTGCCTTTTTTCATGCTCTAAACACTGTAAACATACAGATCAGGGTCAGTACATACACCTGTGCAGCTTCAATAGGGCCCACTGGCAGTGAGGTGGACATATAGACTGGGCTAGGACCCCCTCCCACTGTCACATACACCAGCACATCCATTCTGATGCTCAGAATAAGCTATTGGATGGTAATAGCCACAGTTTGTTATTGCAAAATCTTCTTTCCATCTGTCTATGGTACGTATTTTTCTGGCTACCTAACCATCTGTTTATATGTCAAAACACAGCATCAGTGTTTGTTCCTGGTTAGTATCTTAATGGGAGGCCCAATATTGAGATCAATAAGAGATCTTTGTTGTCTGCCTTATGTCCACCACTGTTACACGGGGTCACTTGAGTTATCTTATGGTAGATTTGTCATATTGTTGGAAATGTTTGTTTTACTAGGTGTCAAATAATGTATACATGATTGCAGTGGATCATTTTTCAGAGGCCGGTTGACAGTGTCTGGGAAGCAACATGTCAACACCTGCATTAACTATTAAAAGTCTGCTCCAGGTTGACCCTATTCACTTGAATGAGTCTCATTCTGTGACCGTACTGCCAGCTGAACTCGACAATATATGTGATGTACAGTGCGAGGTGGGATGGGGTATGTGATGTACAGAGAGAGGTGGAATGGGGTATGTGATGTACAGAGAGAGGTGGGATGGGGTATGTGATGTACAGAGAGAGGTGGAATGGGGTATGTGATGTACAGAGAGAGGTGGGATGGGGTATGTGTGGGATGGGGTATGTGATGTACAGAGAGAGGTGGGATGGGGTATGTGATGTACAGAGAGAGGTGGGATGGGGTATGTGATGTACAGAGAGAGGTGGGATGGGGTATGTGATGTACAGAGAGAGGTGGGATGGGGTATGTGATGTACAGAGAGGTGGGATGGGGTATGTGATGTACAGAGAGAGGTGGGATGGGGTATGTGATGTACAGAGAGAGGTGGGATGGGGTATGTGATGTACAGAGAGAGGTGGGATGGGGTATGTGATGTACAGAGTGAGGTGGAATGGGGTATGTGATGTACAGAGAGAGGTGGGATGGGGTATGTGATGTACAGAGTGAGGTGGGATGGGGTATGTGATGTACAGTGCGAGGTGGGATGGGGTATGTGATGTACAGAGAGAGGTGGGATGGGGTATGTGATGTACAGAGAGAGGTGGGATGGGGTATGTGATGTACAGAGAGAGGTGGGATGGGGTATGTGATGTACAGAGTGTGGGGGTATGTGATGTACAGAGAGAGATGGGATGGAGTAGATGAGAGAGATGGGATGGGGTATGTGATGTACAGAGAGAGGTGGGATGGGGTATGTGATGTACAGAGAGAGGTGGGATGGGGTATGTGATGTACAGAGAGAGGTGGGATGGGGTGATGTGATGTACAGAGAGAGGTGGGATGGGGTATGTGATGTACAGAGAGAGGTGGGATGGGTTATGTGATGTACAGAATGGCGTGGGATGGAGTATCTGATATGTAACTGGAGTAAAGAATATACAAAGTATGGTTTTATTAAATCTTTCTTCATAATTTCTATAATTTATTTCAGTGATAATTATAAGGGGTAGTAAATGAGAAAGGAAGGCAGCACATTATGGAGCTCCTTTAAATAGAGTTCTGCCAAACTTCCTGTAACGAGTTACACAGGAAAACGCAGAAAACAAAACTGTCATATATAGAGGTAAAAATACAACTTAAATACCCAAGTAACTAAAATAGCCTGACTAGCCCCCCAGATAAAGCATGTCAGTTTGTGTGTAATGTGTATTACTACTACAAGGCCTAACTGGTACATAGCGGAGTCCCTGCCAAGCTTGGCTTCATTTCTGATGTGCACCTGACTATGGGAGGTTAATAAAGGTCCAGCAAATTTCAAGCAAGCTGCATAGGCGGAGGGAAAGTAAATCTAATTCCCGGCTACATTACCTTCTCAAATTCTGCTCTGTGCATATCGTTTTTATTTCTAAGCTTAACATCCCTCCTATTATATCAGAGAATGAATGAAGAAAGCCTTGTCTTCTATAGCTGGCTGCTAAATCTCAATCTGGGATATGAATGATTCTTTCTTTCCACCTCACATTGGAACATTTTATTTGCAAAACAAAATTCATATTGTGGTTTGACCAAATTTTAGTGCAATTTCTGCAAAGACAACAAATAAAGAGTAAACTCTATGCACACTAGCGTTTTTTATAAGCTCAAAAACCACTGAACGAAAAATGCTGATAATAGTGTTTTCATGCTGGCTTGTAGTAGTGTTTTTGTAGTGTTTAGAAGTGTTTAGGAACATTAGCGGTTTTACAGTACATGTAGGAGAAAAAAAAAACCCTAGAAAAAGCTATTATGATCATTTTAGTAGCGTTTAGGAACATTAGCGCTTTTACAGTGCCTGTAGGGGAAAAATACCCCAGAAAAAAGCTGTTAGGAGCGTTTTAGTAGAATTTAGGAACATTCTGCTCTGCGTTTTTTACAGTACATATAGGAGTAAAAAAAAAAAAACCTAGAAAAAAGATGTTAGGTGCGTTTAAGTAGCATTTAGGAATATTTACTTTTTTACAGTACGTGTAGGAGGAAAAAAACCCTAGAAAAAAGCTGTAAGGGGCGTTTTAGTAGCGTTTATGAACATTCTGCCGGACAAGCGCTCCCAAAAACTCTTTAACCAGTTCAATACCAGGCAATTTTACACCTTCCTGCTAGGCCATTTTTCACGTTTCAGCGCTCTCCAACACTTTGAATGACAATTGCGCGGTCATACAACATTGTACCCAAACTAAAATTTTATAATTTTCTTCACACAACTAGAGCTTTCTTTTGGTAGTATTTAATCATCGCCAGGGTTTTTATTTTTTGCTAAATTAACAAAAAAAGACCAAAAATTTTGAAAAAAAAAAACGTTTTTCTTTGTTTCTGTTATAAAAGTTTACAAATAAAATAATTGTTCTTCATAAATTTAGGCCGAGATGTATTCTGCTACATGTCTTTGGTGAAAATAACCCAAATTAGGATGTATTATTTAGTTTGTAGGAAAGTTATAGAGTTCACAAACTATGGTATAGATCTGAAAATTGATCAATCCTGAAAGTACTGACAGCCAATCTAATTTTCTTGAGGTCCAAGAATGTCAGAACAGTACAGATATCCCCCAAATGACCCTTTTTGTAAAGTAGACAGTCCGACGTACTTCATAAGAGGAATGGCGAGTTTTTTGAAGTTGTATTTTTTTTGTCATAATTTTTCGGAAAATGAGAAAATGAAAAAAATTATTTTTCACTATTTTTTGTTTTTTTTTTTACATACTGTCACCAGTGCAGTACAGCATCATCATATAACTGGCATGGCGGTGAACAGGGACACTGACTGGTGACAGTATGGAAAAAAAAAAATATATTTTTTTTTTATTTTTAATTTTTAAGTTTTTTTTTTTAAGTTTTTTTTTTTCATATTTTACTATGACCAAAGTAGTACAATGTTACCATAGTAACATTGTACTACTTTGGGGAAGTGATCAGTATTTTTTTTTTTTTTTCACACAATTTGCTTATAGCAAAGAATTACTTTGCTATAAGCGAGCATTTACCTAAATGACTTCGATTCATTCAGGTTTTTTTTTTTTTTTGTTTTTTTTTTTTTTTGTGCTTAGCTGTGATTTGGCCACAGCTAATCACATGACATGTGCATGTGACCTGCTGTGACCATTCACAGCTAGACACTAGTATACAATGGATGGCATGAATGAAGCCATCCATTGTATACAACTGTCATGTGACCTGCTGTGATTGGTCACAGCAGGTCACATGGTACCGGCAACAGGGGCCGGTACTCAGATCTGTCATCGGCCATGTTCGAGTTACACGGCTGGTGATAGATCGCGCTGCTGCGCGGGCTCTGCAACCGCGCGAACTGCGCATGTGCGGGAGGATGCCAAATGGCGTACACCCCGGAAAGCTAATGCATTTTTGCGGCCTCCAAACGGCTATAGGCCGGGCGGCTAATGGTTAAATAAAAAAAAAAAAAAAGAATGTCGATAACCGCTTCTAGGTACTTAAAAAAAAAAAACCCGCTAGTGTGCATGGAACCTAAATCTTTCCAAGGACTGGGCTGCTCTTGGTTTTCTGTGGTGTTTATGATATAAACGGCTTGCACTGAATGGTCATCCACTTGGAGTTTACTTCTTGTCGGGTATGTATGGTTGCCTGCCAGTCCAGCACTTTTTATAACTGTGATCCACACAGCAGATTAAAAAAAGATGGCTATACCACTGCCAAGTCTTCACTACTTCCCAGAGTTCTCCTATTCCTAAAATAGTTCAGTATTTGAATATTA